ATGATATATGTATCATGTGTATAAAAGATTTGATATCAACAATTGTGGCGCCAAGTTAAATTCTGTTAATTTAATATCACAAAATTTACTAAATCTAATGGTATAAAAACAATTTCTGTAAACTCGAAATTCTTAAAATAAAAATAATGGTATATATGTTTCATCTTTATGAAAGATTTGATATCAGCAATTGTGGCGCCAAGTTAAATTCTGTTAATTTAATTAAATTTATCAAAATTTTATGTATTATTCGTAAAAAAGATTTGATAGCCAAATTAAATAATTGAAGTAGGTAGAAGTCGGTAGAAGTGTGTGTATTTATTTTAAAGTACAAAATTTTTGCGATATACCATATAATAAAACTTTTTTTGTTAATAACTTTTTAACGAAGGACGAGCGACAGCTAAAACCTGTTGGAGGTTACTCAGGGTCATGACCTTGACAATATATGTCAAGGTCAAGGTCATTGGGGTGGGGGTCCCCTAATCAGAACGGAAAGTGGAATGTAGTTAAAAATGTAAACACATTCTCATCTTTTTTATCTACATTATCTCTTTGTAACATGTAACTTACATCTTCATTCTTTCGTTATTTTTCTAGATAAAAATAATTCTGTGTAATATTTCTTTCTTGTGATACGTACTATAATTTTCATTCTTAGAGCAAAGACCCAATCCTGGACCATCCAATCCTAGATCATCCAATCTTGGATTATTCAATTCTGGACCATTCAATCCTGGACCATCCAATCCTAGATCATCCAATCTTGGATCATTCAATTCTGGACCATCCAATTTTGGACCATCCATTCTTAGATCATTCAATTCTGGACTATCCTCGACCACAAGTGCTTCAAGCAATAGTATTCAAAGATGCGAAAGAGGTATATTTGTCTCGTTATTGCTTAGTTGTATTAATGTTTACGATCTTTGGGTGTAACCGCAATAATGCCCACTGATTATATTAGCGCTATTCCTGATATAAAACTGAGTCGAAAAGTCCTGTACTATTTTACAATTTTTGTAATAGTTAACGAGAGATTAATTTCTAAAAATTGCAGACTAAACGGATAAAGTCGATGCATAAGACAATTTTAAGATCTCTTTCAGTATTTTTTATGAAATATTTTAAAGATGTTTCTTAAAGAACTCTTAAAGATATCTTAAAGTTGTCTTATGCGTTGATTTTAGACATTCTGCTTTAGTGACCCATTGGTCACTAAAAAAAGATATTGCGAAGATTGCAAAATGGTAGAGGACTTTTTGACTCAGTTTTCATATCAGGAATAGCGCTATATAATTAGTGGGCGTTATTTCGGTTACACTCATGTATAATGACTTTATATTACAATTTTTATTGTGGTGTTTCATACATAACATATAATGCTTAGAACGTACAATTTATTTTAATTGTTATTTTTCAACAAAACCTTTATTGGAGAAAAGAACGGCCTTTTTATTGCACGCGATTATATTATCAATTAATAAATACATATTGTTCGGACTAAATTCAAAACCTCAGTGCGCTAATTATTTTCAAATCATCACAGCATTTTCAGAAGCCTAAATACTATTGCTAAATTCTTGTGCTCAGTATTGAGTTAATTTCAACGATTATTTCCGTCGATAGCTATTATGTTCAAAACACGCTTATTCTCGGTACCGACGCGGTCAGAATTCGAGACAGGGCTACCGATCAGCTGTTTACTTCGCGTCACATATGTATACATTCGCAATCTTTCCTTTGTTTTCGCGAAGCGAAGGATACCTCTCGATACCTGTGTATACCTATCGCTTAACGACCAAGTTCAGTCGTTCTCGAATAAAGCTCAGAAGCACATCTCACTTATACCGATCTCAGTCTCTACGCTTTCTAACACCTTCTGACTCCTCGTGATTGTTCGTGTATAATTCCGACATCACCAGCGGACCTGGTTTTCCGGTACCACTTTTCCCTTCGCAATACTCACAACACATATGTATTATTTAATTTGTAACGAATTCTTTTTAGCTATGAATGTGCATACCTTCGGTGCAAGTAGCATAGCAGATAAACAGATATTTGATGCAAATGTTTGCACATGTTGCCCTAAACATTAAAATTATAGTACATATTAATGCATTGAAAATCTTCAATTAAATGTTTCAAATTTATACATATTCATTGTGTTGATAGTGGTATATTCCACGGGTGAAGGAATAACGAGTAAAATCTCACTAACAGCTCTGTTTTTCACAGCTTTAATATAATACAGTAAACTATTACATGTGCGATCGTATATATGTTGCGCGTTTAGTTCTGTACACGTGAATATGGCGCGAAGCAGAAGAAGATAAGAAAGAACTGAGAACATAGAGTTAATATAGATAGTGCGGTAACAAACTAAGATGGAGATGGCGCGCTCGGGAATACTGCCATGTACAAACTGAAAGAATGCAAATACATAAACTTACGATTACACAGAGTGTGCAAAAAAAATTGCATGAATACAAAATTTGCATATCTCCACACATTGTTTTGACATATTAAACAGTTTGTATTTGTATTTATATTTATTATAACGGTTTTTTATTACGTTATTTTTAGATGAAAAATTCAAGAGAGTATTCAAGGAATTATTTTTAATTAGAGAAATAATAAAAGAATCCAGTGAAGATGTAAAAGTTACATTTGTACAAACAGCTAATGCAGATAAAAGAGATGAAGATAACTCTACATTTTTTACTACTTTTCATTTTCCTTTGCAAAGTATAGAAGAATTGGACGAAATGGAACACTATCTCGAACAATCGAATTGTTTCCAATCCACTGTAAGTTCCCTATTTTTTTGTTTTGATACAAGTTTTCATACTTACGTAATTATCATTAATGATATAATTTACATATTTTTTTAGGTTAAAGAACTGTTTAAAATGGGAGGAGCTAGAGACCCTCTATCAGAGTCTGGACACCTGAAGTCTGCCATTATTCATCGAAATTGTGCGAGAGAGAAAAATCATGCTACCTCACTCTAGTGACGCTGTAAGTTGTAGCTCTGTAAACTTCATAGTTTCTGACGAACGACATTTTGTCATTGTTTCATCATTGTGATTTGAGTTTTGTGTGGTCTTGTATGGCTGCTCGAACGTATTTTTTTGCAATTATTCTTTTTTGTGGAAAAAAAATGGTTTGATGCTCAGTTCCCTTCTGCAATAATTTCTCTAAAAAGGAATATAGTATGAAAGTTCTCTCAAAAAGTTCTCGGCTTAAATGTCATAACGCAAATACATTACTTTTTGTTAACTTATCAACATTTAAAGTTTTTTTAAAATTAGAAAGCATTTATAGGCATTACAGTGTTACGTCGCCAGGTTCCGCAATTTCAAAAATAAATAATTACTCTGAAGAGAGAAAACAAGGGAGCTTACGGGGGATAAGATGATTTAATTATCGAGATTTGTTCCACTTGAATTCGAGTCTGCGTTATGCATATGATCGTAGGCTCGGGGGCATCGTAGGGCCTGTCACCAGATAATAAAAGATATTCTAAGAAGTCTCTGTGCGCGGTAAGGCATAAAACGCAGGATGAAACAGTGTGAAAGTCTATCGTGATAACGCTGCAAATATCACATTCGATTAAGTACGCGAGCGGTCCGTACTGAAGGTAATGTCGAGTAATTTTATCATAAAAGCTGCGATCGTACGCGGATTTATCTTCGTAGTACTCGGAGCAAACGACGGCGTTATTTATTCTATGCTTATAGAAAGACAACCAGACGCAGTATCGACCCAGATTTGGAATGGGAGAGTTCTGTTCGTATTGCTAAGAATTTAGTAAGGCTGTGTACTTAGCGGACACATGAGTAATTAAAGATATTATAAATTATTAATATGGCCTTGAAAGCGGACAGAGAAGAAGAAGAAGAAGGAGACGTTACTTCATTTCTCACGAAATCATCACTTTTTGACCGCTCATATGTCTAGAACGGCTTGACCGATTTTCATTTTTTTGAGCTCAAATTAGTCGTGGCGATGCCGCCTTCAGGATATGTTGCGTCCAATTCAAAATTTTTTATATTTTAGTAGTTATGCAACCTCCAAAAATGGACTTTGGTGGTGCGGGATAAGAGACTTGTAGTGTTTCTCATTTCATTTTCATTAATCTTGAAGTAGTTTTTTTTGAACATGGCCGGAGACACTACCGCGTCTCCTGATGCTGGATTTCGTTTACTGGAATTACAATTGACTCTCTGATATCCACGAAAATGAGATGCGGGAATTGTTTGTATTGTCTCAAGATAGACTGGCATGCAGGGCACGCGTGAGAGAATCTAGCGGTTGGTAAAATGGAATTATAACTAGTGCAATGGTAATTTACAGGCTGTGTCCCGAGATGTAAATAATGTCGAGTTATACGGCTTTGATGGTGCTGCGGCAAAGAGGAATTGTCTTCGTAGCACCGTTGACAAATAGTACTCCCGTCTAATACGAAATATGTAGTCATGCAACACGTAGCTGTGTTCAATAAAGCTGTGATTGCGGCGACTTGACTCAATTGCCGGTTTCGTAATGTTCTTGGCAATGGACACATATATATACTGTTAGCAATGCTCAGTTGCAAAGATCTTAGTCGATGAGGTGTAACTCAACCTCAGCGTCTCATTCGAAGCAATAGGCAGTGCGATTATTAACAATTGTGTGATTGTACACAGCTCTCAGTGGCGAGGTGTACTTTAACCTTGTCACCCATAAGTTGTGTGAATATACAATTATATAATCAATAAGAGTGTTGTGTCGTAGTTTCGTTACTTTCCTACCTTTCGTTGTCGATCGAGTTGTAGTGCGTGCGATCGAAATGGTTTAGTTTGAAATAGCTTTCTTCCTTCCTTCCTTCTGGTTGAGGTAGCAACTCGATGTAATGTTTTTAATGTATAGTTTTAATTCGTCGCGTTATAATTATTTAAAGTAAGTTTAATAAGGATAGGTGGTTGAATTAGAACACTGAAGTTAAACTAATTAATATGTATATAATTATCGAATAAGTATACAAGACTTTTTATAATTAACTTGAAATAATATAAGAAATAGTAAGTTCCGAATTTACGGGAGTTTGACGCACGGCTGACGCGCGGAGAGTATGACTTTGTAGATTGTCAGGTTTAGACTCGGTATACGAGGTATACTCGGTGTAAGCTGACGTTGCGCTCGAATTTACTTAGTACTTGGTATATACTTCGTCGAATACTCCGATGTTACGTTCGAATGGAGCAGTTTATATAGGCAGTGGACATTCCCACTATTCTTTAGAATACAATGCTTGGCCTTACATGTGTTGCACAAGTGTTGCGTCATTCCTCCATTCATAGCTACGGTTACGCATTCTTTATGTTTCCGCTCTGGGACGTACGACGCTATCTCATTTTACGTAAGGGAGATCGAAAGCGCTTGGAGTAATGTTTCCGTCCCTTATCTCATCTTACAGTGCTTGATCGTTGTGGGTACGCGTTCTGTTTCTTTATCTTTATGGTTTCCGTCTTGGGCGTACAGCGCCATTTTATCTTACACGTGGGAGGTCGAGGGTTCTTAGAATAATGATCTGGAAAGTCGAGCGCTTATTTATGATAGTGAATTTATACGTTGAAAGCCTTATCGTCTAGCCATATCCTGTTTGTTACATTTAGTGTTTGGTAATAAGGGACAAAGGTTATAGATAGGGGTATCAAAAGTCTAAAATACGATTTTAACGTTATGAGTTTGTTGAAGAGATAATATTATTTATTATTAGGATAAAATACGTTAAGAGGAATGCTACTAAAAGATAGTTAATATAAGAATATAATTATTCATCATGCGCATAGTTATACATATGTATAAGTATTCATTATATAATTATTCTTAATATAATAATCGCGTTGATAAATAAATCTTATGGTAACTCGCCGTTGTTGGTATAATCGCTACGGTCGGTAAGTCTTATGGTAACTCGCTGTTGTTGGTATAATCGCTACAGTCGGTAAATAAAGTATGGAGATAGATGTGGATGTTAGTTATAACGAAGTATATATTGTTGGTATGTGTAGAGCTATAATGAATAACTTTATGATTAATTAGTAATATAGGTAAGTTTATAAATGTTATTTCTTATATTCTAAGTGTGTAAAATTTGGGAACGTAACAACAGCCTTTATTTTCACATGATGCCTAATGTAAATTTACAAAACTTTTTGTTTGAAAAATTTGATGCTATTCCAGCAGATTACATTTCAAATTGTCATCATTTGCGTACAAAATTGTATGAAAAATTTTTGCTACGCTAAGATTAAAATTTAAAAAAAGTAGCAGCATTTAATCGTAAATATTATGAATCGATGATCATGCATCATTCATTTAAGTAAAAATGTAATGTATTTTCATTATGCATTTAAGTAAAGGAATAATTCTTTTATTATGCGTTAAAAGAATAATACGTACATGTAAAAGTTATTACAGAAAATATTTAATAATGTTAGTGTTACGTCCTGTTTTGCGCTTGTTTCGCGAGCACGAGACGCGGCACGTTCGGCGGAGCGGGGCGCGTGGGGCGAAGCCTTGGCTTTTGCTGAGTTTGTTTTAGAGGGTTTTTGCTCTCTGGCAGGCTACTATCACAAGTGCCTTCGTTATCGGCACGATTTAGAGTGATTTATAAACATCGCGGTATTATAATTCAAATTGCGCGTTTTCGCTTCCTTCGTGTATCTTACGTGAAAAGAAGAAATATATGGAGAATTTAAAGGAATCGTCAGATTATTAGGAACTTAGCGAATGTTGAGATAACTGGATCTCTCGCATGAGCGTATCATCACATGATTCTCTCTATCTACGCTCTTTTTTCTTTTGTGAGGAGGTACAGGGAGGTGTAATGATACTATTACTGTATGATAAGGTTTAACTATTTACAACGCTGATTCGTGATTACTTTAGGTTTGGTCGTTTTGCTTGTGATTAGTTGTGGCCGCGTACTTTTTCTTACTGGGGCCACGTGTGGGGGCGATCGTGGAGGCCACGGTGCCCTAAGGAGGTTTTTGTCTACGAGATGCGTGTTTTGGGAGTCCTTGCTGGGTGCAGGCGGAGTCGCGGGTTTCGCGGAGTTTCCGGTGTCTGGTGCCGTGGATCGTCGGTTTCGGTGATCCCCCAGTAGGCCACGGGATCGAACTCTCCGGAGGCGTGAAGCGATTTTTTTAATTCCCGGAGGTGGACGCGCCACCCTCCTCGCTTTCCTCTTGGCCGCTTTGTTTTCTACGATTTATGCGAGAATGTTTATTGAAGAGGGGGTATGGAGGTCTCGACGCCATGGAAGGTACTCGTTTGAGTTCCATGGGAGGTCCCGAATCTATTGACGCTCAATTAGAAAGCGCATGTCAAGATTGGAGGTGAAGGACTTCTTGTCGCCTGGGGAGGTGCACGTTGAAGTCGGAATCCGTTTTGTGGAGAGATGGAGGTTACTTTTTAATAAGGTTACCAGCGCTTGCGCTCAGCGTAAACGCTGGTAACCTTACTGTAGCAGAGGATTTCGGAAAAATGAGGATACTGAGTCTGCGAACGCTTTGCTTATATATTGTTGTTTAGTGGCTCCTAGAGGTAAAGGGGGTATTCCTTCCTTTGCGACTTTTCAGTCACAAACCTTCTATAATGTTCTAAAATATTCTATAATGATAATTTGTAGTTATGCCCGCTGGTCGGCTGATTTTTCTTAGGTTGAATACGATATTCTGTTTTTGGGGATCGCGGTGCTCGTTTTGATGCGCTTGTTCGTCGCTTTTCGCGGCTTGTCGCGGTAATACTTGCATTCGTTTCTTTCAGCTGTTTTTCATAGTAGATTGTTGATGCTGTCGCGATTCCTTTGTCGCGGCGTGCGCGAATTTCCCTTGTTTGTTTTAAGGCTTTTTCTGATTTATATCGTTTTGATTTTTTTATCTTGGTAGTCTTATTCGTGTCGCGGGGTGTTTTTACGGTGGTTTGATGCACTTTGCGTTGCATTTAGATGCGTTTTGGATGTGATACGCAATTTTGTCTATTGCTCGCGAGGTGATTTTTACGTTTGTAGTGATCTTAGCGTTATCTGTTAAGCTTTCCGTTATCTATCTGATGGCGATGCTTTTTGCGCGAGGAAGTGCATTCTTTTAGTAGTTCTTTCGTTTAGTGGTTGGCGCAAGCGCAGTACGCGCGGCGTTCGGTCGCAACGGTTTCGGTGGCGCGGCCTATAGCTTTACTTGATTCTAGTTAACATGCATTATGTTCTCGCGCTATACTCCGTGCTCACGCTCTACCTGCGAAGTACGGGTCGCTATGCTGTAGGCGCACTGGACGTTACATTATCGTAAGTTAAATAATAATAAAAATTTTAATTGATTCTACTTCAATTTTTACGAATTTATTAATTTTTACAATTGGACGTGCTCGCCATGGAATTGTACGAATCCATGATAGAAGGGGGGAAACAGCCCCGAGCAACAGCGAACCATATTTGAAATGATTAAACATCAAGCTTTGCAAAATTTCCAAATCGGGCTGATTGACGAAATTAAATTGATAGTATGAACGCAAAACTATAAAACTCTGCAAGAAGCGATAAGCAGGCGCGACTGCCGAAGAAAAAGTGAAGAGAATGAGCTATCGACAAATGTCCGGAAGACAGCGACAGAAAAATGTGACTCATTTCACCAAACTTAATAATTATTTTACCAAATGTACTTGTGATGAGAACTTGAACTGTCAAAGTCTTCCGCGGTGGACACAACGGGGCATAATGGGACGGTTTGAAAATCCGCAAAAATTTGGAAAAAAAAACTCATACCGTCAAGCGTAAAATTTTTTTCTGTGATTATTTATAATGTAAACATAAAAATAAAACTCGTCTTCCATGTAGCAAATACAACGTACTACGTCTTCCATCCATATAAACACTTCCAAAAAAGGGATAAAATGAATTTATTCCGCCAAAGCTGAAACTTCGTTAGTGCATAGTTCATTTTATGTACAAATGAAAATTCATAGTCTTCCAAGTATCAGGTACAACAATAGTCGTCTTCCAAGCAGGTAAAGGTACCTCGCGCCGATTCGACGCTTAGGCGTGCGGCCGTGCGCACATATTTACTCGCTTGGAAGATGACTATTGTTGTACTTGATATTTGGAAGACTTTTTATTTTTGTAATTCCCATTGAATAAATATTCATCTATAAAAATATATGCTTTGGCGGTATCATATTTATGATGTTTCTTTCTATAGATCTATTCAGCATGAAGAGAAGATATATGAAAATTGTATTATACAGGGTGTTTGGTAACGACTGCAAAATATTTCGTGCGTGTGTAGAACAGACTACACTGAGTCGAAAAGTCCTGTACCATTTTGCGGTGTCAACAATAGTTAAGGAGATATTAACCGAAT